GCTTTCTTCACTGCTCTTTTGCTCCTTGGGCGAATTTCCTTCCTCACCCTTCGTTTCTGCAACTTCTTGGCCAGGAGATGTTGGCTCCTTATTCGACACTTCCTCGTCACGAATATTCATTTTAGCCACCTTCTCAGCTCCTGGTTCTTCCTCGGCCTAAAAAAAGTGAAAATACAAGCGTTCAAAATAAGGCCCTGATAAGTTGCATTGAGCTTTAACTAGGGCCAGCGCAGATGCTGTGAGAACTATGGGGAACGGTCTTCACGATGACGTTTTGGAATCCGTTCAACACTCAATTGTACTGCTGCCTGCTGTACCCTAGTAGCCCTGGACACGAAAAAAAAGCCTACACCCTGGAAAATAGGGTAACTCATTGTCAGTATCACAACAGTAGAGAAAACCAACCTTCCGTTTCCTTTTCAGAGATTCGCACGCTTTTTCTTTTTTGAGTATACCATCGAGAATCGCACAAAACTCGTCAATATTCAAAGCAGTTTTCTGGAAACGTCACATAAAACTCCACATAAGAAAAGGAACATCAGAGAACTTGTTCGTCAACCGAATCAATAACAATAATAATAGTAATAATAATAATAACAATAATAATAAGAACTTACAGAAAACCCAATAGTGACGAGGAAAATCTGCATCGCATTGGAATCCGGCGTAGTTGCGCTGATTTTCAATCGCTTCTGATCCACCCTTTCAAAAAACATATCCGCATGTACTCTCGAGTTAATAACCACACGATGATTACCCGTTGTTCGAGCCACTGAAGTAAGTTTATCTCAACCAGCTTCGTTGAAAGCAGAAGGAAACTTTCAATCGTATTTCCAATTTACACTTCGAATTGGACACTACTGAACCAACGGGGCCTGAATTTCGGATTTTGACACAACACCCGCTGTGCGTGCTAAACCATAGTGGACCGTCGTACTGCAGGTATTATGGGCTCATTTTATCATTTTCTCGCAATAATCAATTATGTCATCTGTATTCTCAATTTTATATGAAATGTAAGCAACAAAAAAAAATGCCAAAAATACAGAAAAATGATAGCGCATGTGTGCCACAGGGGGCGGATTGTGACAACGCAAACGAAACGGACTGCAGGACAATTTCCGATTAAGACAGATTCAAATATGTGCTAAGAGACATCCGCCTGTGTAATAGGGCTTCAAATTCCCAAATTGATCTGAAAACCACCCAGCTTGTTCGAAATACTCTGCTTACTTCCAAGAATTTCCTATTCAAAAGGGAAACAGTATACAGCAAAATAGCCTTTGTTGTCACCAACCGAGCGAGTACAGAGTTCTGAGGCCACTTTACCATATCAAAATAGTGAGGCATATCCTAACCTCTCCGTATAGCCATGATTGCTGCAATGTAAAAAAAAAAGCACGAAAAAATAGTTTCTGTGTAAATACCTTAGAACGGCAAAGTAAGCAGATAATTCAAAGGATCAGCTCAACCGGCTAGGAAGCACTAATAGGAGAAGTCTTGAAATAAACATGCTCAAAAAAAAATGTCAATAAAGTTCAGATTTCATGCTGGGTCGAAGGAGAATCGATCAGTTCGAATCTCACATGCCAGAAACGCAGGCTCGCTGTTGACAAACCTTTACGTAGGCAGCACTCATTTACATCCCCTCAGATGTCGCTACTGGTCTTATTGAACGGGGGTGAATATGCCGCATACAAATAAAAATGGCCACAGGCCAGGGCCGATTACAGACCAGTGCTCCCAACCTCCCAGAGACAAATATGGTGGAAATTTGTCGTCCCCAAGGGTAGAAGGGTTGATTCTTCTGAGCGGGGAGCCAATCCGGGATTTGACCCTAGCGCTTCGTTCGGGTGAGCGTATCACTTGCCAATAGGCCATTAATTTGGAAATATGAACCAAAAAGAGGTTCATGCACAGAAGATTGAGAGCTCTGGGCGCACATGACTAATGCCTAGCGGAAATTGTTCAAGGTAAACGGACTCATTCGGAAAAGCAGAAGACATTTAACGAGGAATCCGAGAGATTGGATCTGGCCTATTGCGGGGGTTAAATGTAAGAAGACTAGTAACTTCCTTATACAAAAAAAAACAACTATTCAAAGAAACTACTGATCAACTCACCTATACGATGGTGTATTTCACCATCTTCATTTCTCTGATTAGCCGTACATACGACAAGGCGCTGCGTTCAACCCATAGGCCTTTCTGTTCTTTATCAAATCGAATGTATACTGCAAAAGCGTCAAAAAGAGAGTATTGGACACATTTCCAGCAGAACACCATGGTAAGTGTTAGAGAGCATTGCCCACGGCTCGCTTTATAAAAACATATCATACGGACATCAATCTCGAGTAGACAATAATAAGCGACTGCACTATCACCACCATTTACACCTTATTTTAGCAAGAGCGAGCGTCAGATTTGTTAAAATTTTTGCGCTTATGGTGAATTTGCCTACCTTAGCCACTGCGGGTAACATAAACCCCCTGAATGACGTGCAATTCGTGTTCAGATTACGGAACCGTTCTAGAGAGATATCAGCAAATTTGCTGATTCGAGGTGTTTCCGCGCCGAGCCTTTAGCGCAGCGCCAGATGTGTTCGCTATGAACAGATGGAACGTTAAAAGAGTCAAGCACTACTCGCAGATAAATTGGTCAGATCAGTTCTGAGTGTCAAGAAGTTGCGATCGGAGTCTGCTCTGGTATCCGAAAAAAGCCGACAGTGGTTAAAGTAAAGCACTTCCAAGACTATGGCGATGTGAAGAAATTGCGACCGGAATTTGGTCTGGAATTCAAAAAAGGGGTAGTGGGTTTTAAATAATGCCTTCTTTCCGAATAAGGAGAAACTAATGCGAATTCAGAGATTTCAGATTCAGTTTCAAATATAGGAAATAATTCAGCAGAGTTTGAAGAATGCATGAATACTGACTGCGGAAAGGCAGTGCTGGTCAAAGCACTCATGAGAAAAGTAGCCTCAAAAATTTGGAAATACCAGAACGGCCCATTGTAAGGCACCCTCTGAATATGGATACCTACCATGGAACTTTAATTTTCGAAAGCGGAATTCAAGCACTCTTGAGTTTTTCGGTCCTCTTTTTCTAGAAGAAAACCCGAAATCAAATTCCTAACCTGGAATATATTGACGTCATTTTCTTCACCAGTTGTCACCTGTAACTATGCTCGTGCTTCGGCTTTTCGTGTTCTTTCTTCTTCTCTGCAGCTTCTTTTGCTTCAGCTATGAAGTCGTGTTGTTCGTGCTAAAGGCAATTTGTTATGGAAAATCCCAGAATGGTATGGAAAGCCTAAGTTCCTTCCTGATACCTTAGGTTTATCCTGTTGAGCAGCACATTTGAACAGCTCTTCTGCTGTTTTCGGTTTAGCATCGTCTCCGTTCTTTTCAGCATTGGCAGTACCATTCGAAGAGGCTGCCTGCTTTTCCTCCTTGAAGAGAAAAAAAAGGTTGGTAGAGCTAGTACGATTTTCTGCTTCTAACTGAGAAAATACTAACCTTAACTACTCGATCAGAAATTTTAGACCCAAAGACGAACATCGGTTGACCTTTGTCTTCCTGCTCTTGCCGCAGTTTCTTTTCAGCAGCCATCTTTCCGAGCACATCATCCAGTGATTTCTTCTCCAAATGAACGTGTGTAGACGGTGTTATACCAAAGCCGAAGCCAGACTTGCCTAGAACGCTGATTACAGTCAAAGGGGTCTTCACAGGAAGTAGTGGGAAATATTTTCCGGGATCCCGAAGAGTCAAAAGTAGTAGTATGAGCAAAAAAAAGTAAAATACGGAGTTAAGATGATAAACAAAAGCATTGTCCGGACCTTCAACAGATGGTAGCAAAACTAGCTAACCCTTTTGAAACGGTGAAATATGACTGCTCATCCATTGGGTTCTGCTTCGCTCTTCCTCAACCTTCTCGTACAACAAAGGCAGACAACCAAGATGACTCCGTTCCCATCTTTTTAGAACCAAAGCAGGTTGGGTTCCACAATTAATGGCGTCTTTTCTCCTCGAAAAATCGCGCCAAGGTTGAAAAGTTTTGCTACCGAGTTTTATACTGCTTTGCAAAGAATTTCTCGCCCTATACGATAGTCCTCTTACTATTTTCGAAGTTCCTCTTCGCACTAATACTCAAGTGCTCGAACTGGAGTGTCAGTTGGACGACATTAAGCACTTTCGACACTCTCTCTTTTCTATCTTTAATTAAAAACCTAAAAGCGAACAGACCCAGTTGCTAGGTTATGTGAAGAGGC